GTGATCCAGGCTGTTTGAGGTACCACAAACTGCATATGCACCAATTTGCCATGCTGCTAATTTGACACTGGGAGATCCTGGTGTCAAAAAAACACCAACCCCCCTCTCCCCCCCCAAAACAAAAGCAGGGTAGTGCATGTGGCAGCAATGTATGCCACCAGAAACGGAGCCTGGCCATTGAGAACTATGCTGTGACTGCTGGCCAGGCTCTTTGCAGCTGGATTGGTGCCGCTGGTGCCCCCAGGACTCTGGGTAAGGCTGTTGGCCCCAGCTTCACCTATCCCACCTGGGACAATTTGGCACATGCTGGACCATGTGTGGGGGGGCACAAAGCAGCAGCACAAAAATATTTGTGGCATAGCAAACACACATTCTTGCATGTGTGTGCTCGTCTGCACATGTGTCTGTCTTGGGGGGGACGGGGGTTGGGAAGGGGGAACTACTGCAGGCCTAGCTACTAAGCTACTGTGTTACCAATCAATCATGATTCAGGGACCAGCTCAATACACAGTAGCTGGTGAGGATAATGAGTTAATGAGCAAGGATTAATACCTACAAAACCACAGACTAAGGAGAGGAAAGAATCAATACAGAGCCAGGAACTGCTTCTGCTCCAAGACAGAGACAGTTAGTTGCACAAGCACCCATGTCACAAATTTTGCCTGTCAGCAGCTAGGGATGCAGGGCCCCAGAACCCCCCTGCACCTGTCTCCTTAACAGCTGGCAGGTTTTGTGGCCATAGCAGGTCCTAGCAGCCAGGCCTGCAGTAGTTCCCCTCACCCCCCTCTCTGCCCCAAGACAGACACAGTTGCACAAGCACCTATGACATGAGTTTTGCCTGTCAGCAGCTAGAGGTGCAGGACCCCAGAACCCAGAAGCCCCTGCACCTATCTCTTTGACAGCTGGCAGGCTCTGTGGCCTCAGCAGGGGCTAGCAGGCCTGAAGCTTTTACGCTGCTGTGCCTTAACACCCAGTGTCACTCATGTCACAAGTTTTGCTTGTCCACAGCTTGAGTTTCCCCCAAACCTCTGCACCTATCTTCTTGAAACTGTGCAGGCTTTGTGGCCTCGGCAAGAGCTACCATCCTTGCAGTTTTCACCTCACTGTGGCATAACACACACACATGACATGAATTTTGCTTTCAGGACTTTGAGGTGCAGGGTCCCAGAACCCCTTCACCTATCACCTTGAAACGTGGCACATGTCCTGCTCACAGAAGATGCTACCACCTGTGCAAGTTTCATCCAAATCAGCTAAAAGATAACAAAGTTATAGATATTTCCATTATACCCTATGGCCGAATCTCCGAATCGGCTCCGAATCTTCCGAAGCGATTTTAGCCGAATCAAATCGGAAAAATGATTTGGATCTCTGAATTGAATCTCTGACATCTGACTCATCCAAATCTGAATCGAATAGTTCCCTATTTGCACAGGCCTAATGTTTTGGTTGAATTTCGGGTTGGAACTCTCAAAGTACGCTTTGGAGCTCCCATTAGTTTAGAGTTGGGAAACTAAGGATAAAATCAGATGTGGAGTTTAGCCCTGCTCTGATTGTCTCAGGGTGACTTGCATCAAAACAAGCAAGGGAAGAGTCAAAGTTTGATGGCAATTCACTTGAAATAACTTAGGTTGTCTAGGGGAAAGAAGTGTCATCTCAGTACTTCGTAAATTCTTAAAGTTGAACAATGGGTTTGTTCATTTGTAGGATCTCAGAATAAAAGACTCTGTCCAGGGAGAAATCCCACTTGTTTTTAGCCTAAATCCACTTGGATCCTTTGAACATCCTTCCTATAATGTATAGAAGATCAGCATCCATTATACCTGTTTTCAAAATTCAACAAGGAGTCCTATTGATTTGCTAGTCCCCATGTATCTTGAGAAACCAAAAACATAAAAGTTGAATGGAAGTGAGATTGGAGAGGTCATTGCTTAAACGCTGCCCTCAATAGGACTCTATTCAAGTGCTTTACTGATTCAAGGCATAGATTTTAAATGCTTTGGGAATTTGGGACTGCGGCTCATAACTTAATACCATAGATATTTGAGGTGCTTCAGGACATTATGACATTCAAATAATTAATAGAATGTCTTATATCTCTCCAGAATATTATAATTCATGGTTTGAAAAGTTAGCAGAAATTATCAGAGTACATTAACTTATGTTGCACGCTCTGACTCTGTTAGGAATGTCACAGATTGACCTCTTTGAATGAAAAAGCTTATGAGGAGGCTACAGCAGCAACAGCTAAATGAATGGAATGCCACCTGTGTTGCAAAAGGGTTTTGGTTGGTACATTTGCCTATTGCTGTCTACAAACTTATAACAGTCCCATTTTTTTCTAAAAACCCTCTCTGTGCAGTTCTCAAGGTTAGGGGTTTGATTTTTCAGCCTGTCACAGTTTGTTAAATGGGCAAAGGTCTTATGTCAGTTGATTTACATCAAGACAAGCCCATGACATGAATGGGCAGTCCATCTCTTGCACTCCATCTCTTGGTTCTTCAGGGCTGTAGACTGCAGATTTGGGGTCTGTAGCTTCCAGCGCTGTATATGGTCAAATTCATGGTTCTGAAACCAAGTAATTCATGTGAAAGTGATACTTCAAACTGTGATTTTTATTCCCGCTATTGCCATTTCTCAATTTATAATTTGACCTTGATTGCTCCTGGAACTATTTAGGCTCCTTTGAAGGCTGGCAAAAAGGTAGCATTAGTATTCTTTCAAGTGCTAATGTGTATTACCACTAATTATTTTGCTTTCATGAGCTTGGCATGACATATTGCACCATTGGTTTTAACCTGTTTTTCTGGAAAGGCAAATAGTTATCAGACTCATGATTGTATTACAACTGGCTTAGCAAAATTACTCAAGGATTGTGAAAAGTCCTGGAATGTCTGTCAAATAGCTTGATAACTTATTTATAATCACTGTAATTGTAAAGCTCAAGAAAATGCTCAGTTACAGAGGCAAAGAAGTTAAACAGAATCTGAACAGGGAATGCTAGAGGAAGTTTAGAAATTATTGAAGAAATATTTGCTGTTTGTTAGTTGTTTTCTTCATAAAGCCATTGATCAGTGGTGACCAATGGGCAGATTCTGTAGTAGTCTAGTGGATGTCAGTGACAGTGCCAGCAAATAGTGAAAGCTAGCAGTGGACTGTGGGAACAATCTATATACTTGGATTCATGACTGCAGTTGCTCCTTGAGTGATACTTCCTGGTTAAAGGAGGTGGTCGCAATTGCCTTGTGATATTCTTAGGCAGTCCACTGGGGAAGATCGAATCCAGGGAATTTTCCTGAGGGATCGGTGATGAGACATTTATCCCCATATGAGGATTGTGGGAACATCAGTACCACACTATCCCCAGATGCCCTCCACTGTGCCACAGAGGCAGTTTCAGAGAACTTATTAAATTTTGGGTTTTTTTGGAACTTCAGTTGAAATCTTAGTAGGTTCTAGAACTATCTTTTTGGTGGTCTGACAGCAGAAGTCAAGATTGGTTGAGTGGAGAATGAGATTGTTCGCTGAAATACTAATCTCAATGGCTGTTTCAAAATGAAGTTAAGCCTACTGAAGTCAGTGCAACAATGGAGATGTAAAACTAATGTAAGTTAGATCTGGATCAGGGCTATTAATGCAGGAATCAGGGGCGACATGTAGGGGGTGCACAGGGGTGCACATGCACCCCCTGAGAGCGCTGGTGTGCCCCCTGTCTGGCTGTGCTCCCTGTTTAGCCAGTAGGCAGCATCAGTGTCCCCCCTGTGAGTACCAGTAGTGGAGCAGGGCCGCCAGCAAAAGCAGCTGCGCCGCTTCTGGAAGTGACCGCAGGAGTTCTGGAAACGGCACGGCCACTTTTACTGTGAGTGAAATCGGCCGCGTGATCACGGCCGATTTCACTCACAAGTGCCCCCCCCCCCTTTCCCCACCAAGCCCCCCCCCCCCCCCCGCCTCCCCCAACTCAAGAGGCACCAGACACCCATGACAGGAATGATTATAAAAAGAGGAGAACAGTGTGAGCAGAAATATGTAAAACAAAATGTCAATGTAAAATATGGATTGCTTTCCAAAGAGGCCCAAAAGGGATGTGGGAGGAAGATATTATTTATATTATTCACTCTAAATGGAGAGGCTTTGCTTACTTGCTGATTTTTTAAGGTTATTATACTTTAACTGAAACTATATAGAATAAATTATTTCTAATGAGAAGTAAAATATGCACAATTGTAATTTACTTGTCAAATACAAAATTAGATCTTGGCCAATTTTAACAGGTCATAGAACAAAATGAAATGCTTGGCACTTTATTTCAGTCAGCTCTTAAAACTGAAATTAATAAATGATTCTGAACTTCTGAGCCCGGTAAACACAAGAATAATATTCTGATGAGTTAATACAACTGCGAAAATGAAGTTTCAATTAGTATTTGGATTGACCTAAAAACTGGCTTGAACTAGCTGTGAAGTTTCACTAAAGACATATTTAGCATGTTTTTATTAATTTGTTACCTAGAAGTTGATGTTTTAATAAAAATGTTAGTTATCTTGGTTTGGTAAACAAGTTGCTGGAGATGGGTAAAAGGAGAGATGAATAAAATGGTAATTATTTTGCCAACTGCCATTGCATAAAATCAACAGACAAAAATTTCTTTCTGAAGACATTTTAATCAAGGTTCTGATTGCAGATGTAAATATTATTCATTAAAGATTTGATTGCATTGTAACTCCAGGATATATAGTAGAAACCAGTTTTCTTATGGGAAGCTGAAAGATGCTCATTTATGTTTTGTCTCTTAAAATCATGTTTGCTCAATTAACTTGACTATTGTGGTTTCTAAGTGTCAGCTGGGTATTTCTAAATCAATTGTGAGAACAAACCGTTAAGACAACAACCTTCCCAATATGGTTTGATGTAGCTCTGGCTAGTACACTAAATGTTACATCTCTAATAATGAGAGCCATGAGCTAGCAGATGTCAGCATTGTATGTGTCTTCATGTTTCAGGTGGGCAAGTGGGAGAACAAGACACTGAGCCTGAAGTATTCCGTATGGCCAAGATTTAGTTCTTTTATAGACAGCGATCCAGATGACAACCACTTGAGTATTGTTACCTTGGAGGAGGCCCCCTTTGTTGTAGTTGAAGATGTGGATCCTTTGACAGAATCTTGTGTGAAAAACACGGTTCCATGCCACAAATTTGTCAAAATTAAGTAAGTAAAAACTTACTGTGTAACATATTTCTCTAGGACACATCATAGGGATAGCTTTACTTCTGGTTAATCATGCCTTTTGTCCTGGTATTTTTTTCTTCACTATATTTCCATTTGTTCTCATCTCCTTTTTTTTCCCCCTTTCCCTCTGTGTTCCCTCTTTCTCTCATTCCTATCTAAGTACGTATTTTTCATTTCTGCAAGTTGGTGTGATACACACTTTGGACGTTTGTACACATGCTTGTGCTGCAGTGCCAGGTGCTTTTAAAAGCGCCTGGTGCTACATCGCATGCATTTGTTTAAATGGCAAAATGTGTGACAGCACTGAGAAAATGGTGTCAGCATGCTTTGAGCTAAAACACATTGAAGATGCTAGTTCAAAAGCGTGCTGCCGCCATTTTCTCAGCGCTGATGCACATCTCACCATTTATACAAATGTATCAATGCACCACCAGGCGCATCCAACATGCTGGGTCTCTGGCATGTCAGAGCAGACAAATGTATGAGTATAAATGCCCCACTAGTTTTGGTTAACTTTATGCATACTTTATACAACTATAAATTGATGCGTGTTAATTCAGTTTTAGTCGTACAAGTCGTATAGAAGTAGATTCCATATTCTAAAATCAAATTATACTTTAACAAGCATTTACTCTGTATCTAACTATGATGAAATTTTCTTTTTCCTTAATTGTCAATAGTTTGAGAATGATAACTCCTGAAGAAAAAATTATGCTTGATATTTAGTAAGACAAAGCTCTCTGAGGTGGAATGCGTGACATGCTGGTTATAAAAATGTCCTTTGATTTTTATTTCCAAAGTATTTACTTGTTCTGTGCTATTGGGTAGTCATTTAGGGCTAGTCCACTGAAGTCAGTGGGAAAATTTTCATTGACTCCAGTAAATGGATCACGCCTTTGTCCACTTTTCGTTTACACAAGCAACATTTTTCACACGACCAGGCCCCTGAAAGCATGCTACAGCTGTGCTGCAAAATGCTTTTAAAATGGCCGATTGTGTGAAAAATGAACCCTGGTCAAATGAAATATTAGATTAAGGCACTCTAAAGCAGAGTACCTCAGGGAATTTGTTTTCCCTCCTGTGTTAATTTTTCACAAGGACAAGGACTAGGGTAGGGAAGGGTGAGCAGTAGTGCAGAGCTGTGGCTGCTTTGAATGGCCAAAGCTGAGGGTGAGGGGGTGTGGAACAGAGCCATGAGTTAGAGTGGAGCACTGAACATCTGTAGGCACACTTTGTTTGCTTATTTGTTAAATTAATATAATGACAGAAGACCGTACCTCCCTCACTCAAGTGCTGTGAGAGTTAATCAATGTGTGTAATATTGGTATGATAGGCCCTGATCCAAAGCCATTAAAGCTCAGGGAAGCTTTTTGGTTTACTGTAATAGCATTTGATCAGACCCTGAGCTATATATATATATAGTTCTCTCTTAGACCTGTGCTGAATACATATCATGGTCATGCAATATGTGTTCAAGTGAGCAAAACATTCTCTTTTTGGATCCCCAGGGATGCTCTTGGTTTTTGATAGTCTGCTTTCTCTAAATGTGCAGAATTTGTTTCATGTCATGAGAGTTGTGGTATTTAAAAGAGGCAGAATACCAAGGTGGAGAGCTGCCTTTTGGAACTGCAAGAATTTTGCCCATGGTGTCAGTGTAGCACTACTGACTGCAATGACTTCATACAACTGTCATGTTGGAGAATTTCATAACTGCTAAGTAGTCAAGATGGAAAGTTAAAAAGACTAATTCAAACAATAATCTCAGGCTATAACTGTTCTCTGGGCCCCTGCAATGTTCTTCTCAATATGGCAAAAGGTTGATTTAAGTCACTTGTACTCATGTTCTGACCAACTTAGACCTGATAGGTTATTAATTTATCACTGAATTAGCTTAACGTGTTAAAGGTACTTTTCTATTAAGAGTATTTTGTTTTAGGTACAATTGGTGAGTTTTAAACAGGGCCCAGGGCAAGTTTCATCAGTGTAAATAACTGTCTTTGCCTTGTGAAATTGGTTCTGGTACTTTTGGAGTTATTTCACAGCAGTGTGCTGCCACACAATCCCACCTATTCCTAATGGATTCTCTTTGTAGTACTTATACTATTTATATTGTTGTTTTATTATTTATTTGATTATATGTAGAATGTCTCCTTCATTTATAAATACTATGAATCATGCTCTGAAGGAACATATTAATACAGGAGAAGGAAGAATATTATTTTTAACACCATATAGATATCACACTTACTTCCCTTTTGCCTCCATCTCCCAGCTGATCAGTACAGTGAACCTTTTTCATAAGAAATATCCTGTTTTTTTTCACAAGACTGCTTGTGTCTTTCTCTTCTGTTGACAGCAACTCAACTAATGAAGGAATGAATGTAAAGAAATGCTGCAAGGGATTCTGCATTGACATTCTGAAGAAGTTATCTAAAACTGTGAAGTTCACATATGACCTGTACCTTGTGACCAATGGGAAGCATGGCAAAAAAGTCAATAACGTATGGAATGGAATGATTGGTGAAGTAAGTTCTGTTAGGTAAAAGAGCTCTTAAGTAAAAACTTAGCAATATGTATTTTAAATTTATTTGGAGACGTGATGTTTCATCAGTGAGTGAAATTATTATCTCTTCTTGTTTCTTTTCCTTGTTTAGGTGGTCTATCAAAGGGCAGTTATGGCTGTAGGTTCTCTCACTATTAATGAAGAACGTTCAGAAGTGGTTGACTTTTCAGTGCCATTTGTTGAGACTGGAATTAGTGTCATGGTTTCACGGAGTAATGGCACGGTTTCTCCATCTGCATTTCTAGGTATGATTTTCCCTTTCCAAATCACTTAATTGTGTTGCTTTAGACTTTGACAGGTTTCACTCTTTGTTAACCTATATAGTGTATAGACGTTTTCTCTGACACATTTCTGTCCATTTTTGAATTAAACTTTAGATTGTTTGGACAGCAGGCCTATCTATTAATGTGAGTAAGGTGCATAGCACAGCATAGAGAAGACTAGTAGTTTAAGGTGAAGTAACTGGGATCTAAATGATTAAGATTTCATCATGAACAACTTTTTTCAAAAAAATTCTGCTCTAAAGCACTACCTCATAAAGATATTATGCTCTGCCTATATGAAAATTAGTACTTAAGTCCATAATAAAAAAGTGTTCCTTTGCTAATCAACAATGTGTTCACAAGGTAAAAGAAAACTGCTGTAAGCAGAAAAAATAATAAAAATTAGATTTTTTCAGTGGGTATACATCTGCCTGTTGGCAGCAGAGGCACTTGGCTTTAAGACCAGACACAGACATTATACTTTTACTGGTGTAAGTGACCAGAAACTGTTCTAAACTCATAACAGAACACAAGTTTGGCATACATAGGCTAGTCTAAAAATGGCAGAGCCAAGTTTAAGATAGATCTGGATTGATATACACTCAAATTTTATTGATTTAGGTTAGACTGGTGCATCAAACTTCAGTACCAGGTCCCTATTGATTCAAGTTAGGTTGCCTCGCTGTCCACAAGCATCCCAGGTTCCTTTGCATTCCTCCACTAGCCTCCTCTTGCTGAGAGGTATGCTAACATTCACCCCATTTTTGGCTGCTCTAGCTGAGCGCCCAGTGGGCCCTGCCCCCAAGCTGTCACAGAACCAAGTCAGCACAGACCCTTTCCAGAGTCCCGCCTCTTGGTTCCAGCCAGCAATCAGCCACAGGCAGGAAGCATGGGAGGGAATGGAGTCATCTGTGTCCCTGCATAAACCCTGTCATGAAGCACCCTGTGGTATACACATGGACCTCAGTGAGCCCAAGAGAACCCCATGAGCATGTGCAGCTCCCAGAGCCCAACCGGGCTGCCAGCTACAGGTGAGCTTCCCCCCTCCGTTGCCACATCATCTGTCAGCTGCAGGCAGGCAGTGCAAAGGGCGGGGGGAATGCTCATCTGTGCCCAGCAGCCCAGCTAGGCTGCTTGCCTGGGTTCTCCTGGGCTCTGTGTCAGGTCTGCATGTACATTACAGGGTGCTTTATGATAGGGTTCAAGCAGGGACAAAGACACCTCCCTTTCCACACCCCCTGCACTGCCTGCCTGCAGCTGAGAGATGCCTGTGGCCCTGTAGCAGGGGGAGGGGGAAATGCTCACCCATGTCCAGCAGCCAGCCAGGGATGGCCTGGTCATTCAGCTGTGCTAAGCAATGTCTGGCAGCCCAGGGAGCCCATGGGGCATGCTGGGAAGTAGGCAGGAGTGCCCTCAATGTCCTGTCCTTGGCCAGTGCAGGCAGTCTGCATGCCGCTACCACCAAAGGGCGAACCCATGTTCTGTTCACTATAGATCTAACCTATGCCACTTACAGAAGACCACAGAACTTAGATCGATTCCTCCTCAGGCTTTTTTGAATATCTGTACTTAGCCTAAAAGTTCAGTATTATTTCCTGAGCATCTTTCCCTGAATAATACACAGGACACCATTATTTTGACCAACTTTGAGTCAGTTTTTTATCTGTGCTTCTGGGTGTTGCAGTGGTGGGTTTGAGCACAGGGCCTCGAGGAAGCATTTCTATTTTCTCTCTCTCTCTCTCTCTCTCTCTCTCTCTCTCTTCCCCTTACTTTTCTGACATTCTTTTTTGCCTTATTCTTTTCCCTTTTATTCTTCTCCCCATTTGCTTTTAGCTCTTCCTTAATGTTTCCATTTATAGGGGCTGAACTAAACTTAATTGTAGCTGAGGAGACCTAGAGCTGTCTTACAAAATCCATCAGAAAGTGTCACTTAACATTTCAATGAGGTATTTTTCACACCACTTCCTGGGCCACGGTGTTCTTTAAAATATTTTACCTCCTTATAGTTCACCAGTACATCTCACTCTGTAGGGTTTGCAGACTGTTGTACACTGGGAAAGGATGGGAGTACAGCAATTTCAATACCAGTGTTATTAGGATTTATACATTTCCTGGTAACTCAGGAAAAAAATTCAATTTTTTAGACACCTCAGTCACAACAGACACAGCAGTGATGCAGTTTATTATGTATCTTACCATATAATAGCATAGTAGCTTTAGATCACCAAGGCTAGGTACAGACATTTAAAAAGCCTGAAGCAGAATTGAGCCAATCTCTGTGGGTTTCTCTAAGCTGTGTAGCTTGGATTGGGAGTGAATGGAACACAGTTGCTCTTTGGCTGGGTGGGACATAGCTGCCTGCAATGGCCAAGGCCATAAGCTGGGGGTGCTCCCACAAGCCTCCCAGCCTGCTGGAGATTGCTGAGGGCTGGCACGAGGGCAGCCAAGAAGTGGGGCCATCCCTGATTGCCTGTCAGGCACATGCACCAACCCCCTGCTGTCACTTGGGCTGCCCAGCACTAGTCTTCCAGGAGAGCCTTGGAGTGAGTCACTTTGGCATGCCCTCCTTGCTGCCATTGCAGGCCATATAGAACGGCCTGGTGGGCTGCCTCTGGCCCGCGGGCTGCATTTTGCCCACCTCTGGTCTGGATTCATATTTTTTATTCCAATAAATCATTGAGTTATCCAAATCTGCCCACCAATTATTTTCATTCAGTACTGAAAGTAAAGTCATTCCATGTAGAAAATATCACTTAAAAAATGCATACTGTTTTTCCTGAACATGTTGCATGTGTCCATATATTTTACCATCCACTTTACTTGTCTTCTGAAAACTTGACACAACAATTTATTTGGCACATATGCAACTTTGAAAGCTAAGATGGCCCTTTTCATGGAAAGCTGTGTCCCATGACATGAGTTTTGTAGTCGTCCTGATAAACTTCTGAGACCCAATTTTATTTTCCTATACACAAGTGGAACTGCACTGCCAGTTGCAATTTGAATTGGCTGTGTCGTATGAACAGGTATAAAAAGCAGCATAATGTATTTAAATTAATTGTTAAGTGTAAGAGTGACGTTGTAGCTAGAGGTGCACCAATATATTAGTTACGTATCGGATTGGCACCAATAAAAGGAAAATTAACATTATCAGTTATTGGCTTTTTTTGGCTGTTGTAGCTGATAATGTTCTTTGATAATTAATTTTGCCAGGGCCCCTAATCGCCTGGATTGCCTCCCATGAGCTGGGGTGACCCCAAGTACTTGCCTCCATAGGTAAATTATATTCTCTCTGGCATTTTTTTCCCCTTGGTTTTATTTCTGAGACAACCTAAGACAGTTAAGCAAATCCTCTTTTGATGATCTATGCTCTCAATTTCCAAACAAATTGTGCAAATTATACTTTAATTTAGAAATACTAACAAATTGTTATTAATAGTTTCCTGTAATTTTGGGGTTGACTGTTGTTGAATATTTGGTGCTTGCCTATGGCCTCTTCTGTACTGTTTTACATGCTGCAGAAAACAGGGTTGAACCAGCTTTATTAAGCTATGCAGGATGTAAATATCCACTTAGTTATTTGATTTATTCTATATTTGCTGTTCAATGCTACTTCTGCTTTTTTAATTAATTTTTTATTTTGCCTCACTTCATCTTTTTTAATTCTCAAACTCATTACCAAACTTCTTATATTATTTAAACATTCTGCTTTCACTACTGTTTATAAGCCAGTTTGGTTGCATTGTCTTCCTGTCATTTGCCTTATTTAGATTCTGACAACTTTAATTTCAGCTGTCATGCTGTAGACAGTCTCAGTTATTTTCTATATATCATTATTCTTTATTAGAAAAGTTCTGAGATGTTCCACTATTTCTAAAAAGAAAGGTTTAAAGATTGAGGTATATCTCCTCTCATCAATATTTCAAACTGAATCATAACTAGGTTTAACCAAATTCAGTCTGCTTTTCATTTATATGGTATTCCTCTTCCTTTAAAAAACACACCCCAAAACTCTTTAACCTTTTTACATTTTATTCAGTTTTTCCTCCAATTAATATCAGAGTACATTAAATGTTCCTTATTAACCAAACCTGGTGTTTGAAAAAGGGATTCCCATGTCTCTGTCAACTTTTGAACTGTTTCCTTTTTAAAAGTTTCCTTTTATTTTGCTTGCTAAACTCTGGGGTAGGCAAAATATTTGCTTGAAAGATAGGTCTGAACCCAACCCCTCTTTAAGAAAAATAAACAAAAGACCTGACCTGAACCCCAGCCCCACTCTTCAACTCCTTCTTTAGAACAAATTGAAACTTGGTTTCTAGGCTTCATGTAATACCAGAGGAATGTCTGTTTGAAGGGTTTGAGCCAATTCAGTTCAAAATGGCGAGATTCTATCACAAGCAATTGATGTTGAGAGAGTTCAGCCATTTGTCAAATTGTTGCAAAAACAACTACTAGTCCTGCTTGACTTCTAAATTCTAAACCAGTGGGGGCCAACTTTTTTGACAGATGTGTCCTCCATCCTCCCCAATCCAATCCCCTACCCCTACCTGATCTGTTGGTCTTCTTTCTGCTCCCTACCCTGTGCCCCTTCCTGCTCTGCTACTCTGCTTTCTGCTCCCTGCCCTTTGCTACCTGCCCCCTTCTGCAATCTGTGATGTGCCACACACAGTGTCTGCCTGCCCTACTTATGACACATGTCCGCTACAGGTTGGCAATCCCTGCTCTAAACTAAACCAATCCAGATCATCTAATGGCTTTTCCAAGTCTTTAATGCTAATTGATACTATTTTTCTTGTAGTAACTAGGATATTTCACATGTTAAAGTTCAGATGTTAATTTAAATTCAAAGAAAAGACAAGTTAAGAAGCAATATCTCTTGGGTCTTACAAGACAGAAGAACAAGCTCTTTCCATGTGTTCTGATTTTGTCCTATTTTGAAATATTCTATTATCATGCTGTTACACTAATTTTGTTTCCAGTAATAGGCAGAATTTGAATGTTATAGGGCTGCAGAAAACAAGAGAGAACATTTGTTCAGGCAAGGAAATATTTAGAAGGAAATAATACTTTAAAGCTTAAAAAGGATGCTGTTCTCTCATGTCCATATATATTATAACTACATCCCTCTGTTTTGGCAAGTTGAATTCCTGGCATTTGAAATGGTCATTTAATAATAGTCATTTCAAGCTCCTTTGGTTTCCCAGTCCTATTTTTTTCAAAGCATGCAATTCAAGTACAGCAAAATTATTGCTGTATTTCATGGAAGGGCTGCTTAAAAAAATTATGTGGGGGACTAAAAACGTCTTGCATAAAGAATATTTTTGCATAAAGTAGAAACAATTAGAGACCTTGCTTAGTGGAAATAGAGGGAAAAGGAACACAAAAAGTTCTTTTCCCAGACCCTTATAAGAGGTGTCCAGATAAACTGTCCTACCTTACCCTTACAGCAAAGAGCCTAAATCTTTTTGATGTGTCAAAACCCTAATATTTCTATAGACTCATAGCAATACTATAAATAAAGTGAAAGGTCACTTTGAGATAAGCTGTAAATAGGAGTATTGGTTTGGTTCAGATAGCAATACCTATCATTTCCTAAATAAAGGTGGTTAAATGTTCCTTAAAGCTTCAAGGTTGTTATTTTCAAGTTACTTCTTTTCAAGCACTTTCTGTTTGTCAAATACATATATATGTATGAAAGAGAGAGAGGGATAGGCACTTCAGCCCTTATTTAGTCTATCACTGTCACTTAGGTATATATTCAGTTGATTTATTGAATTAATTAATCTTCAATTGCTTTGTTGAAAGGTTAGGCATTGTGATGATGTGTGTATATGCACACATTACTGGTTATATAAACAGAGAATGACAAGATATTGATATAATTAAAAAACAAAAGGGGTTACACATGATTAATCAAATGAATGCATATCAATCAATATGAACATAGGCATTGCTCACTGAAGTATGTGAGTACAGTCTTCCATTTTGAATTTCAGTTCATATTTAAGATGAATGCTTAATTGATTTTATCTTATGTCTATCTAGCAGTGAGCAAGGATAGGTCACCAGTTCTCCCTCTTTTCCTCAGTATTTCAGTCAAACTGACCTCTTTATATGATGTTGATTAGCTATTTTCTAGTATTTTGGTTGTGAAAAGTCAATTTAAAGAGAGTTGCTAGGCTTGCCTAGCCCAGGACATTAGAATTCTTGTTGTGCTGTGACTGGTTTAATGAACTGTGTTTCTGTTTCTCTTGTTTGTTTTGCTGCAGAGCCTTTTAGTGCTTCTGTCTGGGTGATGATGTTTGTGATGCTTCTCATTGTGTCCGCCATGGCTGTCTTTATATTTGAGTACTTTAGCCCTGTAGGATATAACAGGAACTTAGCAAAGGGGAAAGGTAAGCTTTATGTTTTCCAAATCAAGGACTTTGTAAAACAACACCCCCCTCACCCCCATTTAAAAAGTGATTAAAATAATATGAGCAGCTACAGAACTGTATTTACTTATTAATTAAATATTTATCTGCTTGGGAGCGTGTGTTCCAGTGATTCAGTGACACACACTGAGAAAGATAGATAATTTATGGTATAGAGAATTGAAATAATATGATGATCAATGTACTGTATTAGACACAGAGTATTAATGTGGAAAACAATTGGAATGAGAAACCAATTATAACTATACACATGAGCCTGATTCCATTTTCCTTTCACCCCACATTCCCATTGCCTGCTCTGCTCATTTAAAACAGTACACTGACTCTTAACAATATGGTCATTAAGCAGTATCTAATAATTGTTTTACAAATATAGGATTCTCTTGCAATGAATTCAGCCCTACAGTGGGGGGCTTGGAAGACCAATGTTTAGCAAGTGCAGCTGTATGACCTTTGCCTTCTTACCAGAAATATGAATATAATTTCAAAATATGCCACTGCAGCAAATGTTGGGGAATGTACAAATTAAATCAAATTATAATTGATCTTAGTCAGGAAAGTTCTTTTATTAGGCCAACTAAATATTTGGAAAAATTGTTCCAACTATTTAGTTGGTCTAGTAAAAGATATCACATTTACTGAAAGATCCTTGTCTACCTATGTCCCTAGACCAACAGGGTTACAACCAATACCCCTGAATTTATCTTAGTAGCATTGTTGCCACCCATAATCGGTATTTCATCTTCTGTGGTGTGCACCTGCCTTCATCATTTTACTTTCAGCTTTAAAATTTAATTTATTAAATTGTAAATCACACAAATATCCAAATAATATCAGTAGATTGATAATTCATCAGATATCGAAGTATATTCAGTATTATGCCTATCTGTTATTTTCAGAGAAAAAAAGATGATCTGTACTAGTCATAAATCTATTGATGACCAAAGTATTTCACTGTTAATGTAACATTAAAATGTGACTGACCTTACTTAAACCAAAATTAATGTTTTTGAAAAATTGCATCTGTAGAGCTAAAGAGATATTACTTTTCATTTATTTAATTATTCAAGAACATATATCATTGTTTTATAGTAATGATACTGTTGCTTACTAGAGCTAAATGACTGAATGTAGAATTTTTAGCATTAATCTGTTAATAAAAATAAGTTGAAAGTATTACACTTCAAAGAAGAAATCCAATGCACATCTACAAAATGAGGAATAACTAACTAGGAAAAAACACTGAAGAAAAGATGAGGGTTATAGTGAACTGTAGACTGAATATAAAATGAGTCCAAAAAGGCATGTGTAGACATATTATATAGAAGGTAATTATTCTGGTGAGGCCTCCACTGATAAGAAGTAGTTCCAGTTGTGGGTACCATCCATTAAGCAAGATATAGGTAAACTGAGGAAAATATAGGCAAAAACAAGACCATCATGCCCTATTATGAGAAATGGATGAAAATGGTTCTGTTTATTTTGTGAAAGAGAAAACTGAATTGAAATCATATGTCTTCAAGAGGATGATGATCAGTTGTTCTCCATTTCTGCCTAAGGTAGAACATGGAATAATTTGTTGAGCTCGCAGCAATGAAGATTTATTTTAGGTAATAGAAAAATCATTCTAACTTTAAGGGTAGTTAGACACTGGAGCATCCAACTATGGAGGCTGCAGAATCCCCATCAGCACAGGTTTCTAAAAACACGTTACACAATTTAACGTCTTCTTCATTTACTTGACCCTGCCTCAGAGTAGTGTATTAAATGATCTCTTGAGGTTCCTCTGACCCCCTACAGAGGACTGCTCTTTCAAAAAAGGAAGGCAAAACTTAAACCAGATCCTGCCAGTTTACACTGATGCGAGTATGGTTAAATTATGCAAGTACCCTCTTTCATTCCAAATTTCAAAGTCTTAGAATTTAATAAGGGTTAGTCCTGCTCACACACACACACACACAAATTGTAGGATTAGGCTTTATGAGAGTTTACCTTTGGTCACCCACCCCCTTGAACAACACCAGAATTTCAGCTTTTATACTCAGTCTTCTTGGTTTATGCTTTTCTTATCACCACTGTACGAAAAGTATACTTTATCCATTATATCTGCTCAAAGGTGCTTTCATAAACCAGAAGCTAGCTCCATAAGTTTGTTGCACTATTTCCAAACTGGCACCAAAATCAGAGAAGCAAATAGTCTTAGTCTTTGTGTTGTACTGTTACATTAGACATTAACATTGAATTAACAGCAGATTTCTATTAAAATAAGAGCATAAATTAAGTGTATGGACATTCTCTGAGTAGGATTAGGATATCCCTTTTATATCCCTTGTCTTTCTTTTATATATACATTGTATATTGTTTTGTCTAGGGACTTAAAATTGTCATCAGTAAATCTTGCATTATACAGAATTTAATGCTTATCAACCAGGTCTGTAAGGAGTGAGTTAAGTAGATACTATTAAATCTCATTTTCTGGTAGCCTACTGTAATAAGGCTCTCCAAATAAATGCCTTTTAAATTGACACAAAGCTTCTTTATTCAAGTCTGTCACTCTTAGAGACTCAGTTCTATGTTGGCCTTGTGTTACACAAGTGTAACACTTGTGTTACATCTCTTGTATGGAGATTTACATTAAAATCTGTTAAACAAACAACTAAATAAACAAACAAACCCCTGGGATTATTTGGGTCATTTGTTTCTCCCTGATGCATTACAATTCAAGTCAACGGGAATTAACTGTGTGCATTTATGAAGAATGTGTATTTATTTGGTTCTGATAAGGTACTTAGTTTCTTTGTAGCTAATGGGGGTCAGACTCGATGATCTATTGAGGTCCCTTCCGACCCTAACATCTATGAATCTATGAATGGAGTGACTTGTGTACTCCAGTATGTACTTAAACATTTTGTTGCATATAGGACTTAATGATTACTTAGAAAGGAAACTTACTTAAAAGCAGATGAACTATTAAACTCAGAATTTAATTTTCTGAATATAAATAATTAAAGAAGAGAGAGGATTTCCAATTAAATTAACTAGTTGAAATTAATATCCGAGTGCATTATGCTTAAGAAGCATAGTTAAAAAAAAAACTTGGGAAAAAGGCTTGATAAAATTATTTATATTTATTTATAAAATACTAACCTGACTGGACTTACTGCATTTTACATTTTTTTGCTGCTGCTGATAGGTTATTAATAGGGAAAATTCTGTGGCTTACATTTTAGTAGGAGATAAATAGTATTTTTTTGCTTCTTATCCAAATCTTGTGCACAACTTTTCAGTTTCCATTTAAAATGGATTTTGGCATATTCCACCTTGAGAAATGTTGGAATGTTTTAATAAATATGGAAATAACTGCAATTACAATATTCAATAGAGATGTTAAAACTGTGAATGTATTCCATCAGGAATAGGGCAGATTAATACTGACAATTTTTAACCACCTATTTTTATGAATGCTTCATTAAACATGTATTATCTTTTAATGCCAATTGAATTTAAGTGAAACTAAAATGACTGTGCTCTGTGCAATTACAGCTCCCCATGGACCATCTTTTACCATTGGGAAAGCCGTGTGGTTGCTCTGGGGTCTGGTATTTAATAACTCTGTGCCTGTTCAAAACCCCAAAGGGACAACTAGTAAAATCATGGTGTCAGTTTGGGCATTCTTCGCTGTCATCTTCCTGGCTAGTTACACTGCCAACTTGGCTGCATTTATGATTCAGGAGGAATTTGTTGACCAGGTGACTGGGCTGAGTGATAAAAAGGTAGGTGTTCTCCAGCTTCCCATTCTTCCTAGTTAGTTAATCACTGATGTTGAAAGCCCTTCGAGGGGTGTAACATAGATATGAAATTATAGACATGGTTTAGCTTCCAGGTTCTCTTGTTGGCAGAACATAAACAATAATTAACTTAAATATTGCTGAGATTAGACATTGATACCAGATGTTGATTTCAGTACATCTGTGGGGTTTTTAACCTCTCTGTTAATAGTGATTTTAGTCACACAAAACCCCCAAGCAACATGAAAAAGTCTTGAATTAGAAAATGCTAGTTAGTCTTTTTTGCATTGCTCAAAAACATGAAGGTCATTGGCTGAGGGTGTTTTTATTTTAAAATTTAGATCCTCTTTCTAACAAGAGCTGTATCTTTTCTAGCCAATTTATTAAAGCCACTAAAAATCCTAAAAAAATATGAGTATTTCAGACTATTCTTCTAGTCATACTCAGTTGTCTATCTGTCTGTGTCCTCTCCCTG